TACCTCTTTGGTGCACTTCAGAGAACTGTTTTCTGTCAATTAACAGCAGCGCTCAAAGTGCTGAACATTGAGAAGGATCATGACAGATGTGGCCACTGTGTGTGTGTGGTGTTGACATGCCCTATTAGTCCTATCCTGTGTGAGAGCAGTGATCTCAAACAGCCCAACTCATTACTCTGGTGGTGACTGATAAGAGTTTGCTGTTAATAACACAGCTGGGAATTGAACAGCACCTCACAGTGTACCAATAAGCCAAGCAGCTACCATTTCACTGCTGGATAAATATTTAAAGTGTCAGCCCAACCTCACATTAAGTCACATGTTGCAGGCAAATATTGCTGTGTTGTCTCTTACTGTATGTGTTGATCATTTAGATATTACGTGTGTGTAGCCTGTTAGAATTATGTCACACTAAACAACCCTGAATCAGTGATGTTTTGCTTTTTGCATTAACCATCCAGACAAAAATAGCTGCTGTGACATCAATGATAGGGGTGTAGAATGTGCAACACTGTCAAGTTTTAGGATGATTCAGTGAACTTGAACAGCTTGAACTGTCTTGTCTTTACTATGTATTATTTTTGTGTTGCAATTTCTGCACACAGCACCCAAACAGCAAACATGCGCCCAACTGTACACACTGACACCCTTTTCATCCGTCTTACCATCATCTTCGGCCGGCCCATCATAGGATTTATCAATAGCTGCTCTGAAGCTCTCATTGCAGCCTCTTCCCCTGACCATATTTGGGCGAGGGCGGTGGAATGGGAGGAGTTCGTTTTTTCTGTTAACCTCTGACATGGCCGTCTGAAGACTCTCCAACGAACTGGACTTCTTTAAGCCAAGGGTAGGGCCGAGTTCCACAGGAGCTGACGATGCTGAAGTGGCAAAGGGAGACACACAAGGCAGAGAGATATAATAGTACCATTAGTGTAGTTTCACTAAAATGGACATGAACGTGTGTGCATCAGAAATGTTAGTACGGTACAAACAAAGAACCTCAAAAACCGCGTATGGCAGAAAATGGCCATTTTTGTCCAGGTCTATTCGGCCTATAAATAGGTTTATCTTTGCGGTGCCTTTCTCAGATTGGGTTAAAAGTCTGTGGTGACAGACTGGGAGCCAGAAAGACCACAGCAGATCAGAACTCCAAAGAGCAGAGCCAAGAAAAACAACAGTGATGCAGTTAACTATGCTGTTGCTGAGTTTGTGATGGATGTGAAGTGTGCTTCACCGTCACTGGTTCCTCATCCATCATCGCAAGTACACTGTGAGAGATGTTACTGAGGGAGGGAGGGATGGAGCAGAAAGGATGATGAAGTGGAGAGCGATGGATGAGAAGACAGAGAGGTAGAGACCTGACATCCTGAGAAGATAAGTTGTGAAACTTGTACATAGTTTCCAAACTTCATGTTCTTCATTAAGCAGACTACCTAACAATTGTTGCTGTTCTGCTGCACTAACACAGCCAAAGCCAATGGCCTGCTGACTGCTGAAACTGGAGTTCAGCCTCGAGCCCACTGTGACGTTCCCACCACTTGTGAGGAAGAGGAAGAGAAGGTAATGTGTATGTGTTCTTCTAATTTAATTCGTCACTTTGTGCCACCTAAAAAGGAGGGTGGGGCAGCGGGGCACTGGCAGGGAAGATGGGGAGAAAAGGGACAGGAGGAACGGTGACAGGAAGAGAGCAAATTAAGTTTCCACCAGGGAATACCAGAGAGGCAGAAAGGAAGACAGAGAAAAATGAGGACACAGGGAGGAAGGCTGGGCTGGCTGCCAGCTCAAAACACTGGTAATCCTTATACACACATATACACACACACACACACACACACACACACATTGTGGATTCCTTGCTGGCTCCGGCTTGTCAATATGATGCCACTGTGATTCATGAGAGCTAAACCTGCATCACTTTAGATAATGATTCCCTATACACACACACACACACACACACACACAACTGCTCTCCGTGTGTGGGTGTGTGTGCGTATTTTTTTTTCTCAGAGCAAAGGAGATGCGAGGACTGATGTGACTTCCACATCTATTTAAACAACCATTAACCAAACACACAAGAGAATGTATGCACATGAATAATGTAAGAAGAAGAAATGGACAAGGGCCATAACATGTGACACTCCCATCCATAAACACAGTCTGCATGACATTCTGATGCATACTGAAGCAGCAAACGTCATAAAAGTGTTATGTGATTAATCAATAATGAATCAACCTTGGACTGGTAATGTAGAATTTTTGATGGTGCTGAACAAATACAAATCTACAGAATATAAAACTTTTAAATAGCACATACAATACTGTAACAATGAACAATACAGTTCTGTCACAAGTCATATATTTATCAGTGAATATATGGATTAAAACTAATTAATTCAATTTAGTAGCAGTCATGTAATTTCCAAAAAATTTTTTTTTTAGAATAAATGACAGTAATGTTCCGGGCATGTCCCACCGGGAGGAGGCCCCGGGGAAGACCCAGGACACGCTGGAGGGACTATGTCTCTCGGCTGGGAGGAGCCGGAGGAAGTGTCTGGAGAGAGGGAAGTCTGGGCATCTTTGCTTAGACTGCTGCCCCCGCGACCCGGTCCCTGATAAGCGGAGGAAAATGGATGGATGGATAGTTAGCTCATCTCCTTGTTGAAAGCTTAATGGGTTTCTGTGCACCAACGGTAAAATGAATTTGAAACTCAAGTCCATAACAACCTTCCACTACATGTCAAAAATTAAGACAGTGTAATGAAAAGCCTGCTGTCTAGCGGTCTCCATAGTTTCACCTTGAAAGAAAGTAAAAGTATCACCTATATCTGTGTAACTAGATGACATGTAAGCACATGTCTTGACCATACCACAGCTGGCCATATCTCTGTAGGCCACTGCCTAGAGTCTTTACACCAATGACCTTCCAAATGTGCAGTTTTTCTTCTTGCCATTATAATAAAAACGTGTGATCAGCCTGCTCAGCTTTTTTACACGCCACAAGACATGATAGTTTAATTCTGGAACCCTGATAAAACTGCATACCCTTGGTCAGCAGCCTGAACTTCAGTAAAGACTTTACCAGAGAAACCAAATCTCCAGGGCAGAGAGTGGGGAGTACTGTTAAAGAAGAAGCTACATATGGCAAATTCAACAGCTAATCCACTGCTTGAAAACTCTAAGGGCCGCGGATTAGAGCTGCCAGTAACATCTGAACCAAGGCTCCCAAGGCACTATTCCAACACAAACTATTCAGGATTTTATTATTAGTTTAGTTATTAATTTTATCAGGTAAAACTTTTCAAGCCAACATGTTTGCAGTTGCTCTGAACACAGCAGATGAAGTTGGACTGACACTTATACAGTAGATGCACACGCTGGCCACCACAAGATAAACCAACAGCTGACATTTCCGTTTCAGTTAAAGTAAATTTACAATCTACCACTTCCACTCAAAAGACATGGCTAGAGTTGTATGCAACAGTTTTAGTCGTACATTGCTTTCTGTAGACGAATACACCCCATATGAAATATGCTTGAGATGTTTTTCATTTTAACTGCAAGGTGCCAGGGTCAGGGTTCATTCTCCACTGAGGGACCTATAAAGTTAGAGGGCAAATGTAGCAGTCGCTTTAACAAGTCTAATACAGAAGAGCACAAAGTATGTGCACACTGGCAGTGACCTCAGAATCCACACTTCACTGCCTGCAGAGGGTTTGGCAGTAGAATGAAATAAACAATATTATAAATAGCTTACTGGTTCTGTGGTGGGTTATCAAGGAATGCACAGCGCACACATATAGATATATAGCTACAACATAGGGTGATGAGTATGCATCCACATAATAAAACACACAGAGAAATACACATTTGGTCTCTCTAATGCAAAGTATTTTGCTGTGAGTAGCAGGATTTGTGTCATAAATGTAATTACTGCTAACCAACTGTAAGATGATAGAATTAAGCTGCTTTTAAAAAGTGAAAGAGAGAGAAGGGATAACAAACAAGAGAGAGTAACAAAATGATTTGAGGGAGAGGATGCAAGTGGGGGATTGGCAGAGAAAACATGCACACACTGTGAGAGGATGCTTAGAGAGAAAGCCTGGGAATGAGAGTGTCAATGGGGAAAGAGAGAGAGAGACCAGGAGAGAAAAGAAAGAATGAAATGTAAAAACTAAACAGAGAGAATGCCAAGCTATCCCAGGGCTATTTTGTTGGCAGGAAGGCAATGGGCTACTTTCAAAGTCAAAATGACACCAAGGAGCAGCTTAGCAGCAGGCTGCTGCAACGAAGCCAGCAGAGTCAACAACGCCACCAGCTTCAAGCACATGAAATTACACTTCAGAAGCTGAGATAAAAGAGAAAAAAGGACATGTAACTTAATTTCTCTGTTCTATTCTAACACTCAGTGTTAGGAATGTGTGTGTCTGCAGTAAGATACTGTAGGCAGGAAGGGAGATCGTTACTGTAAGCAACAGCTTCTTTTTTATTATACGTGTGTGTTTTATGATCAGTCTCCCAGGAGATGTAATGAGGTTCTGCTATCCCACAAGGTTTCATAATAACCGAACAGGCATCGTAAACAATAAAAACATGTGCCATCAATCTTTCATGTCTCAGGTCAGTAATTACTAGTTCCCACTGAGCTGGAACACACTGAACAGCAGCCATTTACAAAAGAAATTCTAAGAAATAATAATGCAAATATGTAGTACGGTGGACTAGTTTCCATAGAAAACACCTGATCACCTGAAGGTACCTGAATGATTCCCAACAGAACCCTGTGCAACTGAATGACTCATAAGTCTTAACTTAATATCCCTGCACTGTAAATTCTGACAAGTTAAAATTAGGAAACTGATTACTTTGGGAAAAGTAGGCAAAATGAAAAGTTGTGTGAAATGTGATTAGAATGAACACACATTTGAGTAAGCTGTACTTATTTAAGTTTTGAAAATGTAACACTAACTCAGCTAAGTTAAATGAACTTAGAAACAAGTCCAAACTTAAAAGATTTTAAGCTGACTGAACTTCTAAGTCTCATGGACAGTTGCTGCAGATAAGTTTATTCTCCTTTGACATTTCTCAGTTTGAAGAGTATCTTCATTTGACATGAAGAACTCACAGCTGCAACCGTTGGAGGCACTTTGTGCCAAAGTCAGTACAAACAGCATGCAAGTCTGCACCCAGAGGCTTTGTTATATTCATTCTAAGTGTACCAGGGACTAAATTCAAATGAAAACAAACAACCAGAATTTTATTTAACATATAGTACAGATGCAACGTTTCCACTATAAATGGACTCTTCAAAGTACATAAAAGAAGAGCCTCTGGAGAAAGTTACTTATTTTTTCTAAGTTAATCAAACTCAAATACACTGAGTTGGTCAGTGTGTCTTGCCTCAAATTACAAGTAATTTATTCAAAACGAGTGTTGATAGCAGGCTAAATGAGCAGTGTGAAGTAGTGAATGGTCCAGGTTTTAACTGGACAGGTACAAAGTCTAACAACACTGGACTGCACTTATTTACTAGTATTTTTAATAACAGAGAAGAATTCGTGTACATATACTACACACTCCTCAGCAGACATACAAAACTCTTCTACAGTGAATCCATCACAGGGAATGTTACCGATTAGTCCAGGACAGGGACAAATGGCCTCCCTCTTTTTGTGCCTCTCTCACTCTCTCTCAAGCATCATACAGTATACTGTATAGCACATGTCAGTGATCAGTGTGTACAGCGTTATAGAGATGAATGGCTGCATCAGCAAGAAACGACAGCACTGACCATCTCCTGATTACTGTTCACCTTTATTGGGTTACTGGCGGAGATGGAGACAGGTCAAAGGCCATTCAATATACAGAGAGGCAGCCAAGGGCACACACAAAGTGATAAGACCAATGGAGAAACAGGGACTGCTAAAATCGGCTGTTTGAATTCTGCCTAAGAATGGTTGTAAAGAGCTAATGTGTGGTGGCAGCGAGTAGCGTTCGCACACAGACACACAGAAAGTGCTGCTCTCGCTGTGACAAATGAATCCATCAATCCACATCAGCCTAACAAGGTGGCTTTCAGGTTAATTCCACAGCAAAGTCTGCACAAGCCAGAGAGACCGGGAAACAATGAGAAACTGAAAAAATAAATCCAAGAAAAATGATGGAAATGAACAGAGAAGTGAAGAGACAATCCCAGAGACAAGGAGACAGAAGGGGATATAGAGAGACGTGGCTGTCTGAAGATGCAGTTTTGGCAAAGCTTGTCAGTGTGTGACTGCTGTCAAAGTCAAAGTTCCACTAGGGAGAGATTCAAACAATGGACTGCGCCAGACTCCCTCAGCACCACACTGGTCTCCTCTTACACATGCACACACACAGAGATGTTCGTTCTAAGCTCCTGTTTGTCAGTCTCTAAGCCTGAATGGCATTGGCAAGGAAGACAGTGAGAGTGGAGGGAGGGATAGAGAGACGGAACTGGTGGTGGCTGGGGGAACCACAATTAGGCAGCACAAAACCATACAAGTACAACAAAATCAAACAAGCATTTTGGCTATTGAGTGTTTTTTATAATACCAGTACACTGCATGAAAGACTCGACTTGGGTGTGTAGGAATGTGTCTGCGACAGCAGAGACAGATGAGAAAACTCCACAAAGACACATCTGTGTTAGGACTTGTCACCCTCACACATATTTAAGAGCCCTTTTTAAGAAGTGCATCACAGAGGATGTCGGTACACTCCCTAGATACACACACACACACACATACAGAATGACGCTTTTCTCCGACAAGCTTCTCATCATTTTGCTCGGCATTTATTTCCTATCTCTACTACACTGATCCTAGCAGACACACACACAGAGGGAGCTCCAGGCTGTCCCCATCACCAAAGGAAACCATGGTGAAAGAAACACAGGTGCAACCGCTTGTTTTATGTCCCGTCAGCAGTTTCTGTACATGTGTGCGGGTGTGTTTCACTCTGCTATCCTAGTTAAAGCCTTTGAGGAGAGAATCTGTTTACACTTGATTAAGATACAAACTGATATATTATACTATATATATTTACTCTTTTCATGACATGTATGGTGACAGTGAATTAAATGAAATGTACTTGGAATCCAAATCCAAACATCCCTTCTGTCACGGTGACTCTACAGTATTTCACATTTCCTCTTCCGCAGCTGATTTGATTTGTTATCGGAATGATTGCGCTCCTATAGTATTTCTCTGTGCCACCACAGAAACATCAGGCATGTCTGATCACAAAGATACACACACAATCAAGCAGCATATTTTCAGTTACATATTGCGCATCAGTATTTAGGAGAGTTAAATGCCAAACGTAAAAGAGGACTTTTGAGCATTTACCGAAGGGAGTTACATAATTTGTTCATTTGCAGCCTCCACATACGGGAAATGTCACAAAACACATTCGGCCACACACACACGCTCACTTTCAGGAAAGACTTCCACACATGCATATGCTCTCTTAGTAATATGGTCTCCTATTTCCATCACTTTGCAACTCAGATTCTGCAGAATTATAATATAATATACAATCGTCCAGGGTTCACATTTTCCACAGAATGATGGGGACTTTCCATTACCATAATGGTAACAGTTGTGTGTGTGTGTGTGTACTTGTGGTGTAAATTGCCCAGTGGTTTTTTGGGGTGTGGAGGGAACGACCACTGCTGGAAGTGAAACCAGTCTTCCCAAAAGTCAGGACCCCAAACCGCACTCCCCTCGCCCTCTCCAGAGTCTATGCAGCTGTCTGAAATCCCAGTGCAGGGTTGTTGGAAGCATTTCAGTTATAAAAAAAAGTACATTAAACCAAAAGAAAGTGGGTTGGCAAAAAAATGGTCATGCTTGCCAGGCACACACTCTCTTTAACAACTCTCTGGGTCATGTGGCCTTATAAAATAAGAGACATGCTGACAAAAAACAGGTATAGGGAATGTGTAAATAAGCTTTAGTAATAATAATAACAGCAATAACAAGAAGTCTGGAAAACAACCAGAAGAAAAAGATGTGGGCCTCCGAAGGCATAAAGGGACATTCAGCAGACAAATCCCTGAGGAAAACACAGCTGAACACAGCAGATATTAAAATAAAAAAAACAAAACAAATAAATCTGCTTTCACTTGAGGACGGGGGGGGGAGGATAGGAGCCCAACAGCAGGTTTTGTCTCTAGGTCCTCCTGCCTGTTAATCTGACCATGATCTATAACTTCGTCACACTGCTCATCCCAAATAACAAGCCTTATTTTCCAGGTCCGGGTTATGTCACAGAAAATGTGCTCTGCAGGTACTGGAATGCAAAGTACAGTCTTTGACAAAGAGACTGACTTCATTTTACACCTGTAAGCAATCCAGAGTGATCCAAAGTCCTCCATTTCAGACTTGTAGCATCACCAAATGTTCGGATTCAGGTTGCTGACAATCAAAGCTTTGTGATGAGAACACTAAGGGACTAGGTATGACACTAGAGTGGTACAGTATCTGTTTTGTTTCTTCACATAAAACCTGACCTTACAGAAGTGCATTGCATTCACCAAACAAACAAACAAACAAAAAGTCAGAGGATCTTTTCCCGTAATTATCTCATAATCGCAAAATCCCGCTCTCGGTTTGACTTACTATCTTGCCATTATGAGATACAGATCTTCTGATTACTTAATGGCAGGAGAAAAGTTAAAAGTTGTTCCCCTGTTAGAAGAGGAGAATGATTAGGGTTTCACTCTAATAAAATAAATATGAGAGCCAAGGCTTGGATTCTTTCCATATCTTTTATGCTCCTCATATCGTACACTAAACGTCAGCATCACCATGCATAAAACACAGCACAGCAGAACGGGGGCCTGACTAACTGACAAGAATGAAGTGGCAGACACTAAAACAGACACACAGAGTGGAATGAAGTAGAGTGCTTTTACATGCGAGTAGCTACAAATGAAACTGGTGAGACTTCAAGGCAAAGCAAAACAGAAAAGTCTGACATCAAACTTTTAAAAAGAAGTGTGTGCAGGTTACTAAGGTAAGAGGTTCTGAAGAATCACTTCTCCCTGTTTCATTGTGCTTTTCCTTTAGCTTGCCCTCTTTTTTCTCTTTCTTACCTTTAAGAATAAACTTGTCTATCCAGATATTTAAGAAGTGGCCATAGTCATGGTCATGCTCTTCTCTCACCAATCCTTTGGCAAATCTCACCTTCATGTGCACTTTGGGCACATTAAGGAGCTATATCTAGTCAAGTGTATATGAGACACAGCAGGTTTCAAGAGGAAACCTTGAAGTGGTATGTACAGCACGATATATAGTGACCTCAAACACAGAGCGATGATGGGAGGAAGAAAGAGCAGAGGTTATTTTGACTGCAGAGCAGAAAAGAACATTGGAAAACACAGAATTCCTTGTATCTTTTAATCGAATATGCTTGTGTGTACTGTAACCTCTTTGATTGTTTACAGTTTTTGTTCATGTGTGAATGTGTTTCCATGTTTGTCTGTGCTGTGTCTATTGTGATTATGTGCAGGTGTAGGTTGTCTGTGTTTGGCTCACCGACAGTGTTTCCAACCAGGGATCCAACGTTGCTCTCATCTGCCACTGAAACAAAACAAGCATGTCAGTATACGTACACTCACACACTTCACATTCATTTATAGATCGCTTCCTTCTACATTTCTTGTGCATTGACTTGCCAACTGTGCAAGTGTTCTTTATCCTCTAAGACTTTTTTAAGCTCATTGTACTTCTCATTCCTCTTTTCTTCTGAGCGTCTCCATCTGTCTCCATCATTCTCTACCACACTATTATTCTTTCTGTCTCATTTTACAAGATGGCATAATAACTGATCTTTATTTTCCTGTGATGTTAAGTCAGCTTCACTGCTACTGAAGTCATTTCCCTTCCTCCCTTCTCTCTGACTTCATTTGTCATTCGCCCTCCCTTTTCTCCTTCAGTCTCTCATCTCGTTTCTCAGTTTTCAACATCGCCCCTCAGTCTATCCCTTTCACCTTCTGCCCTTTACTCTCACATGTCTCCTATCCCTTTCTTTAATTACACTCATTCCATACAGCAGGGTTCACCTCCTCCTTTCCCTCCTTTGATCACCATTTTTTCCATCACTGCTCCTTGTTAATCCTCCTTTCACTTTCTAACTTCCCCCAGTGTCAACAGCGAACACACTGACTGGTTGCACTGCACCAAATACACACACACACACACCACAAAAACCAAGTAGCAACCTGGCTTCTCCCAGAAAATAGTTTTCTAATGAAAACTAAGGCTAAGTGTAACTCTAGCTGCCTGTGTGTCTGATGGCATCTGTCTGTGGTGAATCAATATGACTGCTTCAGCAGCCCAGCAGCTCGTCGATCAATGTGTATGTGTCTCTGCCTACTGCAGCAGATATGTGGATGCCACACGTGTCACACACACAGAGTGATAATACGGTATGTGGACGAACCCAAGTTTGTTCTAAAATAATGACTAACATATTAGTAATTTATAATATGTGTAGCCAAATAATAATAAGTATCATAATTGATGTTTTTCTGCTCATAAGCAGGCACGGGAGCATGAGAAGGACAGTGAACCAATAATAAATTACTGTTAAGTGTTTAATTGGACTGGGATGAATAATGAAATCAGGACAAATTAAATAAAATGCAGTTCTCACAATGCACTACGCACTTCTGTGACACTGATTAAAGATTTGAAATGCACTAATAATATCTTTATCAGCAGTATTTAGATATTTTTCTTGATATTAAGTGTGGAAGGTTTGAAAACAGCAACAAAAAAGAAAAATTTGAATAAGATTTCTAAAATTACGATGACCCAAACTTCTTGCTGGCCCATTTTTTACATTAACTAAAATGTCAAGAGTACAATGTTTCAGTAAAGATTTATCAAACAAGTTAATTAGAAAAACAGCTACATTGTGTGCTTCATTTTTCTTCTCTAAGTGGCCCCACTACACTCATTGCAATCTGGGATGTAGACATATTCACTAATCACAGGCAGTGAATTAATACGTAGACCGACCTCAGATAGTGTCTAAATGGTGTAGTAGCCATTAACTAGCCGATACTGCCTTTTGAATTCAGGTTAACTGAAATGTGCCACATTAAATAGGCAAAGTATCTTTCTAATAATTCCACTGCAAATTTGTGCCTGTCTTGACATTACATGTTCACGCCCCGCTATGATTGCACATATATTGGGAGACATATGGCGGCTTCTTTTAATTTCTGCTGCTCAAACTACACATGACAAAAACTCACATGTCCCACTACAGAGCTGATATGATTTTAAACATTAAGACATTAATTCACGTGGTTAGAGTTCATATTTCTGTGGTGATTATAACAGGACTCCAGAGGACTCACATGCCTCTTATTATTGGTCTACTGTGCATTTGTTTCCATTACAACATTCTGAATTGCTGCGGGAAGTTCAGGCTCAGAGTTACAGGGAGCTCAAAGAGGATGGAGGAGAGGCTGGGAAGCTCGCTGTGAGCCCAGAGTATATGGTGCGCCCAGCATAACCAGTTGGCTATCAGGGCACTCAAAGGTCCTTTCCTCTAAACCATTTTGGGATACCTGTAGCTTTGTAATCTAGCTAAATCTTGTTCCGCTATCAGTTATTAAGCTGTTATAAGTTACTTGATGCCTTGGCACTAAAAATATGCTATGCCATTCAAGCACACTTGAGTTAAATTCAAATGTGTTTGTCTCAATTAACATCAAATTTGTAAAAATACAAAGGAGGTGATGTACAGATATACAGCAAATACCATCATCTATTATTCTTGTAGAAATGGATGTCTGTGCTATTCAGACAGTCTGCTGCAGTCTGTCTCTCCCATACATGTGCACACAGTGCTTGAAGAGGAGGACGGAGGGAAGTGACATTTGAAACAATAAGCTTTATTGTGTTGCTGCATCTACTGTCCTATTATACAGATGTATGCTTGAGCACAAAACTACACACAAACATGCATTTCTAAAGCTGACTTTTTAACAATCACGGAAATGTCACTGAACACTCCGATCAGATTATCAGAGACCAAAAGGTGACAAAGACGATGAGCAATGCATGATCACAGTGGCTGCAAAAGTAGCCTTTCCAACATGTCTGCATAAATAAAATAACATAATGAATCTGAATTAAAAGCCTGTGACACAAACTGTGACTCGTGTCTCATGTTCTTTGTCAGAGGTTAGAAAAATAAAGAGGGAGAGGCTGGGTAACTAACTGTGGGTTCATACACGAGGACATGCCACAGCCTGTCGTTTTGACATTCAGATCAGACTGTCTCCAAGCCGCTGCAGATGTGGTAGTCTATGATACTGCATGTACCATATCAGATCCACTTATTGAGTGCGACTAAATGAAATATAAACAGAAGGCTGTGCAAGTGAACTTAAAACTGCTTGTGATAAACAGCACTGCTGCCATTCCTACTGAAGATTACATGTAATTGACTGAATTTCTGTAGCCTATCTAACAGTAAACTGTAACACGGCGGTTTTTATCCTTTTGTAGGAGTGCGGCCCTCTGTTAGGATGAAATGATTTCACAAACAAAGCGTTAAACGTTTAGGAGCATATAATAACACAGTTGACAATTTAAATGCTTAATTTAATGAGGGTGCAGCTCCTACTTTAAATTGGCTACTGTCCTCTCTCGATGGACACATTCCTGCAATGCTGTAGAACAACTGCTGGTCTCAGCCTCCAAGTCCACAAGGATTCAAATCACTTTCATATACAGAGCTCATTAGACTCTACTGTTAACTACATAAAATTAGTGTTTGTTTTCTTCTCATTCTCAACAATTCACTACCTATCAGCATATCGAGCACCGTATGGGTTTAGTGGATGGACAGAACAATGCAGTTTGACTGTTGTTGTGTTCTGCTTCTCCAACAGGTGTTTGATTAATTACTTTCCATTACTGTTGAATTTTGTTGTATATATTGAGCGGTGATGTCTATGTAAAATGAGACCTCATGTCTGTGAGAGACGGGGAGGGAGGGGAGCTCACAGACACACTCACAGCAGAGTAGAGAATCACAGCTTGCAGTCAGCGTTACATTTGTCACTGACAAAGAAAGTTCATCATCTAAAGACCTGCTCAGCTACCATGAAGTTAATGTAACGCTGCCATTAAGTGGTATACTGTGTATAGTATCGGGCAACTTTAATGAATACAAGTACAAACAGAAAGTAGTATCGGACCCGATACTGGTATCGGTGTATAATATGCAAGTGCTTCCATAGAAACAGTCATGGAGGCAAATACATAAACACACATGCTGAAAAACATAAACATGCATATTTTTGTGATGAACAGTTCAGTTCAGTTCATCTTTACTGGAAGACTCACAGTCCAAAAAAGGGAAACATACACCATACCAGATACTCTGGGGACATAATTCACCAGTCAGTGGTTTGGCATTATGTACTACACACACAGTTATTGTGTACCTTTCTGTGTTAGAGAAATGTGGCCCCTGTAAGAGACAAGCTTGCTGGTTAAGTGCTGCTGCTATAGAGGTGAGTTAGCACTGCTTTGGAAAAGATTAATGTGGTTAAATGACACACACCTTTGTGTGTTTAAAGAAAATGTGTTTGTGTCCATTTTCACTGTTCCCAAAACACCCATCTACATCTGGATGACTGGATAACACGTGTTTATCCCAGTAAGAATGAAAAACATAGCCACATACATACACCCACATAAGCAAAAATAAGATCAAAACTGTTTTCACAAATGATAACTACAACAATCATGCAACAGGCACAAACTGGTTTCCCCCCTAAATGTGTCTATGTGTATGGTTGCACAGTATGCAGTACAAGCCTGAAGCGCTGTCAGTCTACAAGAGGCTTTGAGGAACACGCCACTGGTGCAACAGCCACGCAACAGCACGAATACATACGTTTCTGTAAGGATAAGACACATGCAGCCACCATGCAGAGCAAATCAACAGAACAATCACCCCACCAGTGTGCTGCTGGTTCTGAGCCATACCCAGGTCCATGCTCTTGGATGCCTTAACATGCTGGATCTGCCGCTGGCTCTGGTTCTGGGTGGGGGACTGTGGCTGAGCTGTGCTAGAGGTGTGAGAGTTTTGCCTGGAACAAAGCGATGACACAGTCACCACAGGCAACTTTTGACAGCAAACAGTAAAGTAGATAATTTATAATAACATTACATAGTTTCCACACCTTTCCTGTAGGTAGGGGAGTTGAGCAGAGCTGTTGAATTCCTCATGTCCATACAGCTCACCCTCCTCTTGCTCATCCATGTGAGAATAATTCCCATTGGTCACTGAAAAGCATTGAGAACAAAAGTAGTGGTAGTATTATGTAGCCAGTCATAAGGGCTCTACAGGTGCACAGCTGGGGTCAACTTAAACTGATTTTAGTTACAATATCAATATGTGTCTGCATGAGAAACGAGTTTATGAAAGCTGCATACACACAATTGACATTTTAGTGAGCACAATTCACATTAGGTCATCACTTCTCAGAATGCGTAGCTGCCACACAACACATGCTTGGATTGCTGTATGTCCTTGCATCTGCACATGTGACTGAGAGTAGAGTGGAGCTGGAGAGGAAAGCAATACTATCCCAAGACATCACATCCTCTCGTCTCTCTCTCTCCCACTACACTAATCACCTGCTTTATTTTCCTTCTGCTCCCATTCTTGCTATCTTCTGATATTTTGGCTGTCATTTATTTCACCTTTCACATCTCCCATAAATCATTTTTTCTCCCACCCAGTTTTCAGCCTTTTCATTTTTTTCTGAACGTCCTCCCTCCTCCTCACTGTCAGCACCTTAATCAGCTGAACTGTCACAAACATATTCTTGTTTCACCTCACACACACACACACACACACACACACACACACACACACTGACTCCCACTATCTGAAGTGAAAAAGGCATTTGTTGTATGGATGGTAGATCAATAGCATGTTACTCCAATAGAAGATATACGAGTCCTTTTCTTTTGTACTCAACTTTTCCTTCCTGCAGTCTGTATCTGTCTAAGATCTGTCTGTGTAATCGTCTCTAGCTCGCTCTCACTTCCCATCTCTTCCACCCTGTTCCTTCCTTTCTACAGGAAAACCTGTGTATTAAGAATTTTACACACGAACCCTATGGCCTATGACAATACAATTTTACCTTCTTTTCCTATTAACCTTTAAAAACAGGACTGTATCATAAACATTCTGGTCAGACTCAAGCTTACCTGACAAACTCTGAGACACATTGACTGGACAAAACTTCTTCAGAGCTACTTAAGACTCGATACGACTGTTTTCACATGCTGAGTAAGCAGGACAAGTAAACTGATCTTCATGTGTAAAAATACATAAACTGTGGGAGAATTATTATATTAGGACATTTCGGTTTTCCATCCCCAAAACAAACTAAATATGCTTGAATGAAAATTTTAGAGAAGACCTGATAATATCCGAGGCGAGATTAAAACTCTATTATTGTATATCATTTTAGCTCAGACCCTCAATGACGTTTTCAAGGAGAGAGAATTAAAGCGATCGAGTGCATATAAAGAGAAGTGAGAGAGACGAAGACTCATGGTAACAGACTTAATGAGATTCAGGGGTGGGGAAGAGATAAAGAAAAAGATCTATAAATGGAAAAAATAAGACATCTGCATAAATACATATGTAAGGAATCAAACTCAATTTATTCTTCAGCAGAAGCACATGTCGGTGCAATAAAAGGATTTCTTCTTTTTAATTTGGACTTCAGTGCCAAATAAAGTGGATTCGGCATGTGAAAGAGTTCATTAGGAGAGTAAAACACTGGCAAGTGCACATGCAAACATAAATACACACCAACCGATAACATCTGCACACGCAACAACTCAGAGGCTGAGAAATGCTTAGTTCAGACACACACTAACACACAGTAATGTGTGTATGTAAATGACACCATCGATGAGGTGAATTTGAACAGCAAAGTATATTCAAGGTCAGAGCTGTTTACCAGATTCAGTGTAAACACAGAGAACACAACTCTGTCTGATACTGGCCAAAAATCCCTGAACCAAATCACACACAGGTGCGCACACACAGCCAGCAGCCATTAACACATTTCTAAACAAGCAGAGATATCATTCAGAAACAAACATACATAAACACACACACCTTTTAACAAACAGGGACACATACAGGCAGATACCAACACAGGATTCAGATAAGAATGCTTGCTAACACACCAACACACAGACACACACACACACACACACACATACAAGCACATACAGATACTATAGGGGTGGGAGCAGATAAAGTTAGTGAAAAAGATCAATACGAAGACCACAAAACTAAAATAACTCTTTATAGCAGGCTGAACCCAGCAACAACAAACAGAGAACAACCTTGAGGAACACAGGAGAACAATAAAGCAGAGAAAGAGCTAGGGAGAGAAATGAAAGGGAAAAACAGGCACAGAATAGTCTCTAATTAAGGCTGGCATGTACATTAGATGGCATTTATATGTTTTCTTCATCCCGTTTTATCTTGGAGATATTATTTTCCATTATTATTAAACTAATTCAGTGCATTACTGAACTTTTTGCAGATGACAGGCCTATCTTTGATGCTGTTTCAGTGGCAAAAGATAAGACAAATAAACTAAATAAAAGTGCATCAAGTTCAGCTAAAACCAGGGACGTAACAGGGCCAAAATGAACCGGAAAACTATTTAGGAAAGAGAAGTCGGGGCAGAGCAGTGTTCCAGCTGGATTTTTGAAAACAATTTAGGAAAAGGGTTTAACTGGAGGGAAATGAAGCTTGTGTTTTCTGCATGAAAATGTATCAGAAACATGCGGTGAGTGATTTCATAAATGCATGCAGATTTTCGCCAGTAAATTCTGGCCATCTGTACCTCTGCTTCAAATGGAAAAAAGAGGTAAAAGCATTTGAGCATACTGTACATCATTAAGTGCAAACCATCTAAATGGTCTAATTGGTCTTTGTGCAAATCCCAGCAGTTCTGCAAACGCTATTAACCAAGGCTCAAAATAAATGTTTGAAAATTGACCATTTTCTCAGTGTGACAAAATATTACCCAGTGTACATTATATGTGTCTGTTAACCTACTGACAGATCGCTGATGTATAAAGAACCTCACTCACCACTGGATGCATAGAGAGTCTTGGTCACCATGAGAGGGTGAATGGGGCCGTTGCTCTGGCTGACCAATCCTGTCTGGCCATTCACTGGGCTCGTCAATCCCGACAGGCCAGAGGAGCTGTCAAATGACAATCCATGTTGATCCTAAGACAGGGAAGAAACAAAAGTTACTTTCAAAACACATTTCCTATAAACTGCCTTTTCAAAACAAGCCAAAGCAGCTACCCTTGTGAAAGGGAAACATTATGTGATGCTTACTTGAAATTAGGCCTGAAACAAATGTACATTAAACCACGATGATGAAACGTTTGATACTTTGGCAAAATTGGTGTTTCTGTTATTTACTGTACCTTTTTGAAACATATGTGGATTGAAATAAAACTAAGAGAGAACCAAGTGTGGGCTTTGTAGTAGACTATTCAAACACAATTAGATGTCAAGGAGACCAAATAATTCCTATGGCCCAAGTCTTCAACACTTCACTTTTCCATGTGTGTGGCATAAACAGTCATATTCACACATATCCCCTCAGGTGACAGCCCACTTTCTAATCAAGCACAGCATCAGTTTGAGTGTTTATGTGTACAGTTTTTTTTAGGAATTTCATTAGCATTTAATTATGGGTCCCTGATAGACTAGTGGTTAGGATTCAGCGCTCTCGCTGCTGCGGCCCAGGTTCAAGTCAGGGTTGCGTCAGGAAGAGCATCTGGCGTAAAACACGTGCCAAATGTCAACATGCGAATGACACACTGACGATTCGCTGTAGCGACCCCTAATGGGAAAAAGCTGAAAGTGACATTCATTCATTCATTAGCATTTAATTGTTAGTTGTTTTTAGAGAGAGTTGACTGTTTTCATTAACATGCATACGTTTGGCATTTTAACAGTATGTTTCAATGTCTGTACAGAGTAAGCCCTTTATTCACACAACACGTCTTGGAGCTAACAGAGTGTATGACAAATTGTCTTCCTCTTGTACACCCCGCCCCCCCGCCCGTGCTTTGCCACCAGCACTAGCTCCTGCCCTACACCAGCTTCCTTCCTAACCTCTCTCTCAGAACACATCACTCTTCGGTGCATTATTGGTCCTATGGGCCCCCTCACTTAAATGGCTCTATCCCAGCAAACATGACATTAGCCGGTGCCATAGTGCAACCACATTACTCTCAAAAAACAAATGCTTCCTGGGACCCAAACAGGTCGCTGATGTGTAAAAACAATGGCTTTACATGTAGATGCAGTCAAACTCGCTTCAGTATGAGCATTTCTTTGCCAAACAAACACACAAGTAACATATGTTATAAAAAATAAAATGTAATTAGATGAAATAGACTTTAATGTGAAAATAAAAAACTGTCTACAATAACGTAAACTAGATAGGAAACACGTAGTACATTAGCAAGACTGTTTCAACCAAAGGTTTCCTTAGACACATGCTGTATCACTGCACAGATGTTCAGACATGTTGACAGTGCATCTTTTTTTTTTTATTCAGCAGATATTTTGTGGATTATAAATAGTTTGAAAACTTTCAACAACAGCTGTACAAAACAATTAGTGATTAACTGGTCCACTTTGTCAAGTGTAAAATTCCAGAAACATCTTAAGTGTTTGAGCTTCAGCTGCAGCATGCATGCATTACAAACAACACTTTCCACAACAAGAACTTCCTTTAGTCATTTACAGAGGTGTTCTGTTCTATAAGTGAACAAGGAAAGTGCAGAATGGCTGCTCCACAAAAGGTTCCTACTGAGAGCAGGGATGCTGCTTGTAAACACCTGCTCAATAATTAAGGAAAGGTAAAGGGTGCTATAAAGTCCATATAGGTCCATACCACACTACAGAGCAGGGTTAGCAGGTGAGTTCTTATCTTGAATAAGGGTTTGTAACTTTCCTCAAAGCAAATACAACATTATCAGCTTCCACACCCATGATTAGTATCAATATTATCGAATAATGTGAATTTTCTAAAAACTCTTCTGTCAAAGTCAGAGACTCAAATATTGTGATAACAGCATTGCTGATGTTCAAGAATAATAACCAGATAATGTGTGTGCAGAGCCATGCTTGTTTATCTTGGACACAAGGGCCATTTGCATCAATTTATTGAATGAAAACATCTGCAGGGTAAAAAGAGAGAGAGCTGCCTGAAGATGAATGTTGTACAGTAAGAAGAGATAAGGAAAAAGAGTAAAGGACATGGACACTAAAAGATCACATCAGAGCTCAGAAGTGGAAAAAGCAGAGTGGTCCACTTCAGTAATTTTAAAAGCATCAATACTGAAGCCCAAAAAGGCTTTTAAGGTACTGTACAGTCTCTCGTTATCTGCCTTTACTTTCCTCTTTTTCTATCCTAGCTTTTCCACTCCTAAGACAACGAGGGTGCAACTCTTTGATGCTGCTAACGGCTTTCACCATCAAGCTATTGACAGGGGATGCCCTGAGCTCACCACTACTGTGCATACACACACACAGCCACTCAGATACAAGTTCATTCTGTGTACCTAACAAAAAACTAATGCAGTTCAATACAACACCGTGCACTAAACCTTGTGAGTGCTATAAGTAACATAAGGGAAGACTATCTAAATACAAAAACACCTAAACAGTGTAACTTTTGCTGTTTGTATGGCTTCTGTTTACACAATTTATCTGTGTGTTTGTTATGTGTGTGAGTGAGCACATCATGCAGGATGTAGATGCTGCTCTTTTTCCGCTACCAGCAGGCCTTGCAAAGAGCCATTCACACTTGAGCCAACAGCATGGCTTTGTGTGTGCACGGGGTTGTACGAACATTCAGCAGAGCCATGTAAAAGGCATCACCTGAAAAGCAGCCAAGATGAAAAACATCTTTTTTTATTCATAAAGAAAAGAGATACAGCTGAGTGAAGAACACTCTGTCACACACACACACACAAAGAAACACACAGAGACATACAAAGACACACTGAATAGCTGAAGTGTAAACGCTCTTTTGCTGCTGGTGGTAAGAGCAGTGGAGACAGCAGGGAGACTAGTGTCAAGTATGTGGAGTACTGATGGAAGGGTTACAAAGTCAGTATGTGTGGAAAGAGGCAGAGACAACAGACTGCAGGAAAAATGATGCTTTAGTCAGTGTGAGCCAGAAGAGGTGGCAGGAGATACAGAGTGGTGACAGTACAAGAAGCATGCATGTTAGTTTTCTCCTCAGTTCAGTGACACAGGCATGCATGTGCTCTCTTTCACACAGCAGGTGTCCAAACCTACATTATGGCCTTTGTATGAATAGAATAGTGAATGATAAACAGACTTAATGTGGTATGTGTTTCAGCTTTATGTGCACATTAAAACAGTTCTTTGTGTTCATCACCATTACACATCATACCCAAACAGTCAGATACTGTACCTCCACACCAGGGAACATTAACACATAAACCAGGCCGTTTACCCAAATTCAGGCCTTTCAATTAGGAATGGTCGCACTTGTATCAACTGTTGGTGTGTGTTTGTGTGAGCGAGATCACAAAAAGGACACCTATCCTCTGCATTGACATTAATAACAGAAATGAACACACTGACAGCTACAATACCACGGATGATCCTCCACTGTAAGTCTACATTCTTCATCAGAGGAGGCCTATATAAAGACCTCCAAACTGGTCTGAATTCAGGACTGAATTCCAGATAAGTTCTCAATGGGGTGTCACTGCAGGCATTTGGTTTCCTTTGATTTATTGTCTTTACCATCAGCCCATACAAAGTCTGTCCCGAGGCATCGTCTAAAGAAACACTTACAGGGTTGGGGGAATCTACAAATTGACCAGAACAATTTTTAAAATCTGCAACCAGTTCAATCACAGGATAAGGATCTGGCAACAGAGAACAATAACCCACTAGTAAAGAACTCTCATGCTCAGTCAGCTTATGTTTCCAGTATCTTAAGAGAGAAGGAGAGAGATAAAGAGAGTGTGTGTACCTTCAAAGCCCTCAACACCACAAGCTGGATGGTCCCTCTTACGTTTCCCTCCTGTGACATTGAGCGGCGGAGTGTCTCCATGGCCACATGATTGGAGCGTCCCAGCAGTGATTCTCCGTTCACGGCTACCAGCTGGTCATTGACACGCAGACGCCCATCCTGTTAAGGACACACCATTTTAATTAAGACATACTTACATTAATGTGTGTTTTCAGTGTACAGGAGCACAGATGTGTGCGTTTTACACAAAGCTGACTGACACACACAAATTGGATACATTTTTCCATGACTCCCAATCAGCTCCCTCGGTCTGACTTCCCTGGTGTTTGTTATTTACAGTGCCGCTACAGACGCACCTGGTCAAGTGTGTCCTGATGAGTGAGAGGTCAAAAGGAGAGTGCACAACAGCAAAGAAGCAGAGACATTTGGAAAGGCTACAACAGCTCTCACAAGACTGTCATGTAGAAAATCTGTTCTGAGGGTAGTTATTCATTTTTGTAATATTCCACTTGGTCCTGAAACACTCTGTGGCCTTTGTGTGACACTTGATTGACTGTTTTGTGTAAATGTTTGGCTCTCCTTTTCACCACAGGGAAGCCAGAGCAAAGAGAAACTTATGGGCTTCACCTGTATTTTCACTCATTTGGGTACAGTATGTATGAAAATATCATGGCACCTTATATGCTGCCCCTCCATGTATAATAGATTTGATGAAGATTCCCAGATCCTCTCCTGTCTCCCTGGACTTGTTGCCTTTGAGGCTGACGCCCAGCCCTGCAGAACCGGTGTCATTGAGGGGCACCTCAAACATCAGCTGCTCCTTCCCATTCTCCAAAGCAAAGCCTGGCACACAAGGCACCTCCTCCTTCTGGGGGAGAGAGAGAGGGTAATGACGGTAGAAGAGGAGGGAGAGGGGTGAACAGGGTGAGAGTAAGGAGACAGAGGTCAGCTCATTGTGCCCGAATAGTCTCCAAAAGCTAAACTAAAAGCTTTTCCATTTGAGCAAAACCATCACAAGAAGCTTTTCAGCAAGATTTTTCTATGAGTGAAAAATTGCATCTAGAGTCTATTTTCAAAGTGGAAAAAATGGGGGGGCTTGCTTTTATATACCCATCTTCTTTTTTTTCCTTTCTCAGGTCTGAAATACCAAACATAATGGCCTGTGCATTAGATAAAACAGAGTAGAGCAAACACAGAGCCAGGGAGACAAAAGTACTGAGCAAAAGAAATAGAGAGGAGAGAAAATGTTTAAAACAGACATAGAAATAGCAGCCAGAGACTGGCTGTGGGAGAGGCTGGAGAACTGTCGAAGTACACACAGATGATACTTATTTAAAAGGAGTAAATGGTGTGGTACAGCAGTTACTCAACAAACTCAGAGGAAGATGCTGTGAAAACTCAAGTTGAAATTCTAATGAAGTGTCCACAAGGCCGGAAAACCATCTAGAAAAGACTTGTTTTATTTTTATGATATAAGACAAAGAATTAATAAGCTAACTTTGATTTCCCAGGCAGCGAGGAACGAATAAACATCTCATCGGCCAGCCTCACGTGGGCCAGGATCAGACCCTGCTTTGCTTCAGTTCAGATAACTTTATGGAAATGCATGTCATCTTTTCCATTTATCCATCCATTGTCTATACTGCTTATTCCTAGATAAGGTCACAGCGGGGCTGGAGACAATCCCAGCTGACCCTGGGCAAGTGGCGGGGTCCACCCTGGACAGGTCACCAGTCTATCCCAGGGCTGACAGGAAGACAAACAACCACACAGACTTACACTCACTCCTAGGGACAATTTAGAGTCACAGATCAACCTAAGCTGCATATCTTTGGACAGGGAGAACATAAAAACTCCGTGCAGAAAGGCCCCAAATTTTTAATAATTATTACAAGGTATTCATATTCATAGTTCACAAATTGTAGTCCAACTTCGCCACAGTTCTGATACGGATATCTGAAATCTAAGATGGTGCCGACAACTATGGCAACCTTGGCTACACAAGATCTCTTGTGTTTGTTGTTTTTCTTTGTTTTCTCGGTCTCTTGCAACCCATCCCGGATTTCTTTTACCAGAGAAGAACTGTTAAATATCGGACAACTCACACCAAACTACCTTTCTTCAATTTTTGTGAATGAAGAATGCTGTGTGGACATTCTGTATGACTGGACGATAACCCTCAGTGCAATACCTTCCCCCAGTGCAATACTGGTATATATACAGTGGGTACGGAAAGTATTCAGACCCCCTTAAATTTTTCACTCTTTGTTATATTGCAGCCATATGCTAAAATCATTTAAGTTCATTTTTTTTCCTCATTAATGTACACACAGCACCCCATATTGACAGAAAAACACAGAATTTTTGACATTTTTGCAGATGTATTAAAAAAGAAAAACTGAAATATCACATGGTCATAAGTATTCAGACCCTTTGCTGTGACACTCATATATTTAACTTAGGTGCTGTCCATTTCTTCTGATCATCCCAGAGATGGTTCTACACCTTCATTTGAGTCCAGCTGTGTTTGATTATACTGATTGGACGTGATTAGGAAAAGCCACACACCTGTCTATATAAGACCCTACAGCTCACAGTGCATGTCAGAGCAAATGAGAATCATGAAGTCAAAGGAACTGCCTGAAGAGCTCAGAGACAGAATTGTGGCAAGGCACAGATCTGGCCAAGGTTACAAAAAAAATTTCTGCTGCACTTAAGGTTCCTAAGAGCACAGTGGCCTCCATAATCCATAAATGGAAGACATTTGGAACGACCAGACCCCTTCCTAGAGCTGGCCGTCCGGCCAAACTGAGCTATCGGGGGAGAAGAGCCTTGGTGAGAGAAGTACAGAAGAACCCAAAGATGACTGTGGCTGAGCTCCAGAGATGCAGTCGGGAGATGGGAGAAAGTTGTAGAAAGTCAAAGAAAGTCAACCATCACTGCAGCCCTCCACCAGT